TCGTCACACAGTGAAAGTCGTAGAGCAGGTATTTAGTGGTGCGTTTGAGGGAGCGATGCGCTGGTATAAGTAAGCGTTTATGCAGGCTGGATACTGTTTGCTGGTTCACGCCAGGCTGTGTAGCGCTACGCGCAATTTGGCACACAGGAAGTGTGGATAAATGCACAATGAGGCGCATATGCGTGTTAAAGACTGCATTGGATTTGGCAGCTGCACCGCTGTGCATTGAGTCGGGGGTGTCGGGCAAGCTAAATGGGGGTAATATAGTGTACGGTGTGTGGCGAGATGTGCCTGATTCTCGAAAATGGGTTTTGTTTAGGACGGAGCCGAAGTCCTATTCTGGGAGTTGGTCAGGAGGATTTGTGTGGCCGATATTTGTTGGAGTGGATGCCTTTGCATACGGCTAGACCGGCAACTAATGTTGGAGGAAGGTCAGCGGTTGTGTAGGTGGAGCACTGTGTCATTGTTTGCGTGTGGAGGTATTTAGTGGTGCATTTGAGGAAGCGATGCGCTGGTGTGGGTGGGCGGTAATGGAGGTTGGGATACGGCAAGACGGGCAGCTAATGTTGGAGGACAGTCACGGATTGTGTAGGCGGTGCAGTGTGCCATTTTGTGGTTGAGGATGTATTTAGGGGTGCGTTTGAGGAAGCGATGGGCTGGTCTGCGTGCGCGGTAATGGAGGTTGGATACTGTGTGCTGGTTGATGCTAGGCTGGGTAGCGTTCAGCGTATATTGCGACGCAGCAAGTGCGGATGAATGCAAGATGAGGCGCATATGCGTGTTGAGCACTGCATTGGATTTGGCCGCTGCAACGCTGTGGAATGAGTGGAGGATGGGGGGAAGCTAAATGGCGGTAATATAGTGTAATGTGTCTGGGGGGAAGCGGCGGGTTGTTGAGTATGGGTTTTGTTTAGGAAGGGCCTGAAGTGGTATGTTGGGCGTTGGTTAGAAGGATTTGAGTGGACGATTTTTGTTGGAGTGGATATGTTAGCATACATAGGGGAAGGGCTGCTAATGTTGGAGGAAGGTCAGCGGTTGTGTAGGTGGGGCGCTGTGTCATTTTGTGCTTGGGGATTTATTTAGTGGTGCGTTTGAGGAAGCGATTCGCTGGTGTGCGTAGGCGGTAATGGAGGCTGAATACTGTGTGCTGGTTCATGCTAGGCTTTCTAGCGTTCAGCGTATATTGTCACGCAGGGAGTGCGGATGAATGGAAGATGAGGCGCGTATGCGTGTTGAACACTGCATTGGATTTGGCCGCTGCAGCGCTGTGGAATGAGTGGGAGATGGGGGGGAAGCTAAATGGCGGTAATATAGTGTAATGTGTGTGGAGAGAAGCGGCGGGTTGTTGAGTATGGGTTGTGTTTGGGAAGGGCCTGAAGTGGTATGTTGGGAGTTGGTGAGAAGTATTTGAGCGGCCGATATTTGTTGGATTGGATATGTTTGCATACGGCAAGACGGGCAGCTAATGTTGGAGGGAGGTCAGCGGTTGTGTAGGTGGAGCACGTGTGTCATTGTGTGCGTGAGGATTTATTTAGTGGTGCGTTTGTGGAGGAAATGCGCTGGTGTGGGTGGGCGGTAATGGAGGCTGGATACTGTATGCTGGTTCATGCTAGGCTTTCTAGCGTTAAGCGTATATTGCCACGCAGCTGGTGCGGATGAAGGGAAGGAGAGGCGACTATGCGTGTTGAAGACTGCATTGGATTTGGCAGGTGCATCGCTGTGCGTTTAGTGGTGGATCGGGGACGCTAAATGGCGGCAATATAGTGTAAGGTGTGTGACGAGAAGCGGCGGGTTGTTGAGTATGCGTTGTGATTAGGAAGCGCCTGAAGTGGTACGTTGGGAGTTGGTTAGGGGTATTTGAGTGGCCGATATTTGTTGGAGTGGATGCCTTTGCATACGGCAAGAAGGGCAGCTAGTTTTGGAGGGAGGTCAGGGGTTGTGTAGGTGGAGCAGCGTGTCATTTGGTTGTTCCGGAGGTATTTAGTGGTGCGTTTGAGGAGGCGATGCGCTGGTGTGGGAGGGCGGTAATGGCGGCGGGATACTGTTTGCTGTTTCATGCTGGGCTGTGTAGCGTTCAG